TAGGTAACAGCGGGGAGGGCGCAGCCGAGGGGGCCCTGACGCCGGGGTGTCCCTTCCCGAGCAGGAGCAGAAGCCGCAGCTGGAGAAGGAGGTGTCCCGCAGCCGCATCCCCCGCCTGGTCCTCCGGCCGCAGCAGAAGGTCTCTCCCGCTTCCGAATCGCCCTTTTCCGAAGAAGAGAGCCGGGAATTCAACCCGCCCAGCTCCTCCGGGGGCTCCGGCAGGACCGTCAGCAGCAACAGCTTCTGCTCAGGTACCGCAGGCGCGGACACCCCCCCCAAAAAGTCCTCGCCCCGGGGGTCACGGTGGACCCCACCGCCCCGACCCCCGGGGCTTCGCTGTCACCCCCAGACGCAGCATCCGCGTATCGAGCTCATACCAAGCCCCGACGAGCATCGCGCTTTGCGGATGAAGAAGGGCGACCATTGATTTTTCCAGGGAGATCCAGTATCTGTTCTTTTAATACGCGTCTGTAAGCGACACCAGATGTTTCCATTTCGAGTTCTGCTCTCCGCTGCTAAAAAGTTGGCGGTTTTACTGCAGCAGAACAGTTGCTTTAAAGAGAAGGATTTGCCTTAAAAACTGCGTGGGTTTGAGGCATTCTGGAAAGCCCACAAGCCAAAGAGTCCTTAAAACGGGGGGAGTTGCTCTTAAGGGTATCAGACGTGGGTCAGATACTGCAATGCCTTTTGGTTTAGTGACGATGATCTCCCAGCATGAATCGGAACAAAATACGTAGGTGAAGTTTTCCCTGTCATATTAAATTTATTTATTTGAGAATTCAGCATGTCGCCAGGTGTGAGTTGGGCATGATGTCTTCTCTCTCTATAGAGAAGGCAGAGGCTGGGGGATGCACTAGAGGTAAATTACCACTCTCCAACTGTAGACCACAAAAGTGTCATTTGCTCTTCAAAATGGGTATAGCCCTTTACATCAGGGACAACTTGAAACCAGATTTTTCATGCTAAATATTTGTCCTGGGTAGAGTGTAGCACAATTTAAGTGCCTCAGCCGGCAGTGAATGACTCAGATACCTACTAGCGGTGAGTAATCTTTTAATTCAGTGAAACTCTTCACCATGTATGACATTAGGCACGTGGATAACAGCACTGAGGGCCACATCATGAACACCTTGGGCTCTATATGTGTGCGGTAATTTTAAAGATATTTTGGTGACTAAAAATTTTGTTTTAATAGTATTTTGGAGAGCATAAAATTCTCTAACTAAAAATCTGAATTTTAACAAGTATTTTTGTAATACTTAATATCAGAGCAAGTTCCTTTTTGTTTATTTCTGAAGTATTTCAGTTACCAAAGGTTTTCCTGAGAACAGCCAGGAACACTTGTATTTATCTTTGTCTTCACTACAGTGGATCAGATTATTATTTTTTTTAATTCCTTTAGTGAAAAGCAGTGTATTGAACAGTGTGTACAAGAACAGTCAGTTTTCCTAGATGAGAAACACAATATCCATGTTTGAGTCTACCATTTCCTTCTTAGCTTGGATAGATTTTGCAATTCAGGCTCAGTGGAATGATCTATTTGGTTATTGTTTAGTGAACAATGCAGAGCATTAAACAAACAACACAGTTTTGTAAGAATGCTGAAGTCTTTTTCCCATGCCTTTTGAATCCCTCCAACTTACCTGCTTGAGTTTGCCTGTTACAAAGAAGTAAATCTTCTGAAGCTTTGTAGAAATACATTATTTTTATGATCTCTCCCAAATGGCTGCTTTTTATCCTGATTTTTTTTGCCCTGTGTGTTGACAAGCCTTTCATCCTGGTTACTGACATTCTTTTTTATATCTTTTGGGTTTGTATCATGTTCTTCAGATCTACTCAACACAGAGCTGCTAAAGTAATACCCTTGCTGTCCCACTGCACTATATAAGCTGTCTTGAGTCCCAGCAGAGCTTTGTATTTACTCTGGGTGTGTCTGATCTCACGGCTTGACAGTTTTAAGGTGCCTTTCACAGAGGTATTTAAGGGTGTGATGCTGGTCTCTTAACCTGCCTTATAAGCACAGCTGGTCATATTTTTATTTCCTTTATTCATCTTTTATTCTTCCATGAATGCTATGTTGATTTAGTTTGATTTTTTTCCCCATGCTGAGAGCTTTGCACTTCTCAAGCTGCCTGCAGCACCCGTACAGGTATGCACTACTCAGTTTGGCTGCTGCGAGTCTTCAAACCTTACGCAGCCAAGGATCAGCCAAGGCACTGTCCTCCATCCCAGTATGTGGTTTTGTTGTTGATAGGTTCGATGGATTTTTCACTGTGATGCAGGTATGACAACGGTCACTGACTTGATTTCCTTATTCTCTAACGTCTCTTCCGTCTTCCACTTACAATCCTTCTTTATCATAGTATTTGTATTTTAGACTGAAATTCCCCAGTGGCAGCAGGTGGCTGCTGGTTCCAGTTTCTGGGGAGGGGAAGGCGAAGAGCTGTGTGGAGAGGTGAGTGGAGGGACCGCAGCCTCCAACCTGCCTCTCCTGGTGCTTCGCTAGGCACTTACCATCCTAACCAAGAAGTAGCATGTGGAGAAAGTGTATTTAAAATTAGCAAGTAATGAATTTGGAATAGGTGAGCAGATGAATAATGTGAACAATAGTGTGATGACAGTATGAAAAACCTCATGAGCTTTGGATAAATTTCTTTTTTGTAACTTCTTTGGAGCATTAAACCCAAAAGGTTCTTGATAAGCAGCAGATAGTGTGAACTGGCCCCTGGAATAATCCCTTTCCTCTTTACCCTTCTCTTGACAAGTTGCTCTCTACCTTTCTTCCTTTATTATTGACACCAAGTGGTTATGATCAGTAGATTTCTTTTTCCCCCAGTAGAAATGATACTTTTCTTCCTCGTCCATATAAATACATATTTCCTGCTTGATTCCATAGGGCTTCTGGGGTTGTCCATTTTCCCTGGGTGCTTACATTGGTCCCAACTCATAAATGAAGGCGTGGAGCTCTCCCTTCTCTCTAAATGAGAGCAGCAGGGTCTTCCAGGTATCATTAATGTTGGATTAGGTAGGGGGAACCTTTGGGAACCGTGGCACTGCTGCGAGCATGGTGGCAACAGCAAAAAATACCTCTGGGCAACAGACAAGGGACACTTTGTTTTAGTGCTTAGTTTCTTTTGAAGAGGTTGTCAGTTCTAGCTGAGATAAATTTTAAATTTGTGTGATCGGCTCCCTCTTTGTCTTGTGTGACTGGATCAGAGACTCAGTTGACTGTGTTGGTCAATTATCTGCAATTGACTTCATGTCAGTTCTGCTTCCTAAGTCTGTGTGAAACACGGGGGGACTGTTAATCTTCTCTATGATATTCCTGACAAAATGTGTTTCTGATACTCTTTGTTCCTGCCAAGTGATCATGGATGCTTTCTGGATGCTGTGTAGGCAAGCTGAGCCTTTGTATCAGTATTCACTGTGCGCAATCCTTCCTTACAATCTTAGTGCATCTGGGGTCCTGTTTGTCATTTGATACGGGAGCGCTTCTCTTCCTTCAGCCACTGCCCTCCTTCGGCTTGGATGTCGGTCACAGAACTCCTATGATGTCAAACGATGAAAAAACACCCTCCCAGCAGTTTCATCTGGCTCAGCTGCTACCGAGCATTTGCCCGTGCCATGCGTGTTTTCCTCATAAGTTGCACTTGGTTTTGAAGTGGCTGCGTGTGCTTACCTTGTCAGTTGGGCGGAGGGCACGATTTTAAACATCGCGAACAAATCATCCGCTCGCAGGGCCATGACTGAGCAGCTGCTGCGGGAAAGAGTGAGGCTGCCTGTGGTGGTTCCAGTTGCAGTGCTTGCCTTGTAAGAAATAAGATCCTTGGGGTGGGGCGTTATCCTTGGGTTTTGTGTACACGTCCTTTTGATACCAAGCCAGTTGCGTGTTGGATTGAAGACAGCCTGGATGTGCTAGACTCAGTAACAGTCTGTTTAGCTTTTCATTTTAAAAGGAAGTTAGTTTGGGATACACTTTTTTTCTATTTTCTGCCTCTGAATAGCTCAGCTTTTAGACTGCGTCTTATGAAGAAGAGTTGTTACATGCTACCTTTATAATGATGCCCAAGCTTTCCTTCAGCCTTTCTTCAGAAGCCAGCCGCCTGAATTTCTGCAGGTAATGCAGCGGTGCTTTGTTAACTGAGATGCAGCTTTGCAGGAAGCACTTGTGCATTTAATAATTGTTTCAGCAAAAGACTTTATGAGCAAGAGGAGCTGTTTCATGCCCATAGCAAACAGTTCCTCTTTCTTGGGCTTACCTGCACATCACCTCTTTAACTAGTCTGCATAGTACCATGGGCCATTGAAAACCAGTAGCGTCTCTGTACGTGAGTGATTGTGACTCACTCCAACAAAGTTATCAAAAATGGGAGTTGAAGCTCCTTCTTTGCTTTTCCTTTCAAATGTCAAGATCTGCGTTCAATGCTTATTTCATAATTGGTTCTTTTCCGGTGTAAAGATCTTGTTCTTTACATGCCTGGCACAATAAATATGCTCCGGTACCCTGGCCGCACTGTAGGCCCCGGGGTGTAGGCACTGCAACAGGAATCTCAGTGTTACCGTTCCCTGCTCGCTTGCTCCTGTGCACGATCCCCTTGAACCCAGAGGTTATTTGCCAGTTGGCCCAACTGTTGATGGATGCTGGGGCTGAGTTCGCAGTGCGTGTGTCAAAAAAAGCATGTGGGCTTTAAGCAGGTTTATTAAAGTCCATGTGAATGCACAACCCATATTGCTAGCCACAGACAAGAAGAAAAGGATTGTATGGGTGTGTTACTGGGCAAAAAGCTGTACCTTCTCACACTCCGGTAAATAATTGCTTTGCTAAAACATTGAAGTAGGTTGCGTTATAAACTAGCTAGCCTTGGAGGCTACACTATTAGAGTGTGTGTACTTAAATATATATTTCTGAGTAGAAAAAGATAGAGGAAAACAAATTTGCAGTATTTTAACAAACCAACGGATCGAGGCCTGAGAGGTAGTACAAATGACTGAAAAGAATAGCTACCTCTATTGCTGGTGTGTGTATATGTCTGTATATATGTATGTATTATTATGGAAACAGTGAGCTCTCCCATTCTTCTTGTTTCTTATTACAGGAAGAGATATTTTGCTTGAATAGTTCCTTACTGGTTTATTTGTTGCTTTTTTAGTGTGAGTTACTGAATCAGAGAGAGATGCTTGAAAGTGCTCAAGTATGTGATACTGAAAGTTAGCGTCTCTTTCCTGCAGTCCTTTATGCTACGCTTTTCCA